TTATCCTCTATTCTTTCTCGATTTGCTCTGCTCTTGTCTGGGCCGACGTAGCTGACGGTGCGCGCGGCGCGCCTAGCGGCTGATGCACATTTTACGCATTTGGAGAGGTGGGCTGGAAGCTTTGTTTTCACTGGAAGATGGTCCACTTAACGCACGGGTGTAGACTACATATTAATGACAAATGAATGAAAATTAAATTGTGAGTTTTTACTTCATATTTTATAAATAAAAATGACGGGGGAACACATTTATGACGTCTTTTTAAACGAAATTTTCTAGCGCGACCTGCCTGCTTCACTTAAGTCACTGCTTATTAAGGTCCGTCCAAAATTACCGTGGGAAACGGGTAATAATGGCTCTTTGATGGGAACAGGTTGCCGACCCCCTGGTATAAGATCTGAGCTGGTAAAACAAAAATCCTCATCAGCAGGCGTTTTTGAAAGTGGGGGGGACACAGCTGCTAACCACAAATTTTGCCGGGGACATGTCCCCGGGGTCCCCGGTTAAAATGACGCCTATGAACAGCGTACAGCTTCATGTCGGGTCATGTTCCCACCGAGACTCATTTCTGCTCGCATTTTCAGAAGAGGAAGGAAGCCGAGGAAGATGTTGAGGTAACGTTAGATGAAGATGCTCATTGTTCTTTATCGTGACCCAGTTCCCTCTGAGTGATCTGTACCGTGATACGTGTGATATTCCCAACGTTCCTATTGGTGACTGAAGGGAATCTAACATGTGGCTAATATATTAGACAAGTAGGCTGAAGTGGAGGAGGTGTGTGAAGGAGAGACAAGTGGAGAGGCAGAGCAAGGAGCAGCATGATGATGGAGAGAGCAGCAGGGAAGCAGAGAATCTGGCTGGGACCCAAAATGTTCCTCCCATGGCTGTAGCACAACAGTCAAGCATTACAATTTATGTCAAGTTAAATAAATATTTTATTTAATTTTAATTAAACATGAGCTGTTTTACACACTCCTGCATTAATGTTCACCAAAAACACACAGTCTCATGTCTCAGAACGACCGTCTCCATACGTCTCTACCACCCTGCATTTAGGGGCGGTAGGTAACAAGATGGCGCCTGTGCTTGGCTTAGCCGCGGTCACCGGCCATTTTCAAACTTTTCTCCACTAACCTCCTCTTTTCCACCTTGATCCTGTCTGCGATCCTCTTCAGTAGTGTCCCTGCTACCATCTCCTATGATCGCCAGACTCTTTTGTCCTTCCGTTCGTTCACGATCGCCCAAGATGCACCGAGGACGTACCATCCTGTTTGTTTACCTGAGCGGCAAACTGGCCGGAGCCAAACGACGGTCCCGATCTGCGCGCCTCCAGCGATTTTGTCCGATCCCGGGAAAACGTCAGAGGAAAAGAGGTAAACGAGCAGGAATCCAGGTGAGAATAGGACTTCTCTTAAAGCGTGGTTTATCTAGTAAACATCGGCGTGATCTTCTAGCTTCTTGTCCTTTGTTTGGTGACCTGAGCGCCACTTCCGCATTCCCGCCAGGCCGCATTGTGACGCGGTTCATCCGTCCAAGTTTTTTAAGGTCGATTTATCCTCATTCCTCAGTGGTTTCTCCTCCTGTTCCCTCCATAAGTGGTTTTTATAAACACTGTGGATCTAACCCTGCTAATTTATGTCCACTAACTCCAGCTGTTTCTGTAGTTTCTGATTCCTCCACCTCACTCAATTCAATTTCAATTCAAGTTTATTTATAAAGCGCCAAATCACGACAAGAGACGTCTCAAGGCACTTCACATAATAAACATTCCAATTCAGGTCAGTTCATTAAGCCAATCAGAAATAATGTTTCCTATATAAGGAACCCAGCAAATTGCATCAAGTCACTGACTAGTGTCAGTGACTATACAGCAATCCTCATACTAAGCAAGCATGCAGCGACAGTGGAGAGGAAAACTCCCTTTTAACAGGAAGAAACCTCCAGAAAATCCTGGCTCAGTATAAGCAGCCATCCTCCACGACCCACTGGGGATGGAGAAGACAGAGCAAGCACGCACACACACACACACACACACACACACACACACACACACACACACACACACACACACACACACACACACACACACACACACACACACACACACACACACACACAGTAATGTGTCTATAGTTATATTGTGATGTCTTAGTAAATATTGTATTTGGTGAAAGATAAACTTTATTGCATTTATCCTAGTGGATCTATAATTAAACGGGTAAACTAGTAGTAGCACATCAAAAGTCAAGGAAAGCAAAAAGTTATTATCAGGAGAGGGAGAATGTATTAGTGGTTAGAAGCAGTGTGCTAGACGATGGCCCCCTCCATGAGGCCACCACAGCTCAGCAGAACATCTGTCACCAAGTTGGTGCCAGACGCGCCAGTCTGAGTATTTCACAATCTGCTCAGTTACTGGGATTTTCACCAAGCCCCCAGAATGTGGGTCAGAGATTGAGGCCAACGCGGAAGTGAAATAAATTGCAGTTCCACCCTCATCCACTAGGGGCTGGTGTCAGAAGCGAGCAAATCCTCATTGACTCCCATGTTAAAAATACCAATTTCACAGCAGAAATAAACATGTTTACAGCCTGGTACCAGAACATGTTTTTGGTTTAAATTATCTAGTTTATACTCATGACAACTCTGAGGGGGGTGAATGTTTTTCTCACTCTTCTGTTTAAGTGTATTAAAAGCCTAAAATTCTGTATAATTAATGAGCATCAGACCCACGTGACCACAGAGCTAGCTCCGTGGAAAGGCCTCAGTAGAGCCTCGGTCTGGCCTGGAAACTGGTCATTTTCAGTCTCTGAACTTAGTTGTAGCGTTTGTGTATTCTGTTTGGATATTATTTGTGCAATTGTTGGACAAAATGACTTGCTGTGGCATTAATTGCACTAATAGAGCGTCCAAGGAGTCTCCACTTAATTTTTTTGGTAAGTAAAATTATATTTATGTATTTTAGGTCACTGCCGAGCTGAGCTTAGATTTTAACATGTACTGTTTAACCATGAAATTTAAATGTAATAGGGTAAAACCCAGTGCATTTAACATAATGCTGCACTTTAGAAAATGGGTTCAAATATAACATGTTGGTGGAGCTGGGTTCCCACTATCGGTATGGTCTCCTCCCCACAGCTCGGCACATCTCTGATCGCCGCGGCGCTTGCTTGCTGGGCGGGCTGCCGGCTTATGGAGCTCTCGGAGACCGATGTGTTCCACCCGGTTCTCCCCAGCGGTCAGTCCGGCGTATCTCTGACTCAGAAGCTCTAGTGTTGTGCACAGTTAACTCCGGTTGTAGCTATTCTCCATTATGGCAGGATAGGTGCTCCATAGCGCCTTACTTGAACCTCAGTTTTACCTCAGATGTAAAAAGCAAAACCACGTTATTTTGTTCTGTGCTTTATTAAAGAAGAAATGTTTTATTAAACTTACTAGAAAACTTGTATGTGTTGACCTTTTATTTGAACATTGCATATACCTGTTCTTTTTCAGAGGTGCACAGCAACAAAGGTGAAGATAAACATTTTTTAAAACTTAGAAAATAAAGCGTTTTGAGAAGTATCGAGCTTACAGCTTAAAGTTGTTTGTTTCCTATCAGAGCCGTTCGTCCTGCACACTCACGCTCTTACTAAGCGCTTACGGAGTGGGACACGGGCAGCAAGGTAATCAGGGCCCGTCTGATAGCTGAGGCTGCACTGTTATCAGCCCTATTGACCTGTGACACAGGCTGTGGAAACAGCCTTTCTGCTGATGTGGTCTCCTCTGCCCATCTTCTCCATCTCACAAAAGTTGTGTAGAGCACAACAGGTTGCTACCACGTATGGTGTGAAAGTGAAATGGAAGTCACTGCGCTTCAACAGAACACGGAAACGAGATTTCAGTCGACCAAATGCTATCTCTATACTTGTTCTAGCAGAACTCAAATAGACGTAGAAGCTTTCCTCCTGTGGTGTCAGTCTTGGGGACTGCAGATAGGCCTTCATTAGCCAGGGCATCAGTGGATATGCAGGATCTCCCAGCAGGAAGAAATCCACATCCTGCCCCTCCATCTGCACTGCTCTCTAAAGTGGGACAGATAGAAATATTATTCTTCCTAAATTATGTCATAATACATCTTAGATATGTGGCAGGTATACAACTTGCATTTAAATACCAACAGTTTTAATGCATTACCCACCTTTGGGAAGGATTGTGCGTTGTTGAACAGATTGGACTGGCGGAGTGCATTGGCGTCATGTGCTGAACCAGGCATTTTGCAGCTCACACTCCAAAAACTATGGAAAATGTATCACAGTGAATCATGATGTAGTGGGAGCGGTGTGATTAGTGGCAAAAATTATGACATAATTATTTGTACATATAAGCTTTTGATGTTTTTTGAACAGAGAACCTCTCAACTGATGTTTGTGAGTGGTTCTAATATAGCTTAGTGACGTGTGTCTGTCAACCTTATATACAAATCATAATCATGAATACAAAAGCTGGGAATGCCAAAACACCTACCAGTATTTGTCATCACAGACTCCCTGGAGGACATAGGATGGCCATCCCTTCCTGTTTATGAAGTCTCTGTAGAGGCAAGCAAGGGATGTGGCTCCCATCCACACAACCTATGATAAAAAGTAAAAAAAGAAAAAGTTTGCACACAGCAGTGTAGCCTACATACATAGTACAGTTCACATTTAGCCTACTCTCAGAAAACTACTGACATTAACAAGACAATAGAGCAGGAAATATTTTACCTATGATTTGAGGAATGGAGTGGGCACGTTCAAGTCTTTGTGCAATGCCACATGCCTCCTCCAAAGTGGGTACCCGGATCAGTGTTTTGATGACTTGAGTCGACCATTCCGTGGCAGAATAGGTACACCATCTTCTTCAGGGTGCTCTTGTGCACTCCAAATTGGTTTGCTATCAAACGACACTCTGCACAGCTTGCTAGCTTATACAGCACCATGGCAACGCGCATTCCTGTAGGCACTGGTGTGCGGATGGTTACTACTAGAGCTGAAACAACTAATCGATTTAATCGATTATAATCGATTATTAAAATAGTTAACAACTTTTTTAGTCATCGATTAGTTGTTTAATAATCATATTTTACCGCATAAAGTCTATTTTTACCACAATCTGACATCGGTTACAAGCTGTTAAATTTGCCGCCAGTGTGTGGCAGTAATGAGCCACTGATCTACCAGTGGAGCCGTAGAAGAAGAAATGAGCCAATGAGTGCCCTCGGTTTTCATGACGTATCACGTTACTGACGCTCATCTTGCTGTGAGAGATGGCGGAACAAGAGGAAATACGGAAGAAAAATAGAAGCGACAAAATTTTAGAGAAACCCCGGACAAAAACCTCACGAGTATGGGAGCACTTCACTAGATGCATTGAAAAGGCAAAATATGCAAAAACCATCTAGCATGGCACGGAAGCACGACGTCCCTAAGTGAACATTTGAGACGAAAACGTGGGGGCTGAGGAAGAGCACCGCGGTCAAGTGAGCCGTCATTTGGAAGAGCCAGCCCGGTAAGTAACAGAAAATAAACAAGCTGGACTTAGTGTTTTAGCTGAGTTCGTTATAGTGGATGTTAAACATGTTTTTTTGCCGCGTCAGTCTACGATGTTCTACTTCTGATTGACTAGATGCAATCGTGAATCTCCTCCGTGTTGTGTATCATGCGCTTGCCAAATTTAGCACGTCTGTTTATAAGAATGTTCTAGTTAAGAGAAAAACGGCACAAACCCATAACTATGTTTCTCATTCAAAAAAGGACAACTCCGCGGTGAAAAATATACAGACGAGCTGTGTCCAGGTGAATATAACGCGGCATAGTTGTACACTTTCAATTTTTAAATACAGGAGAAATTCAGAAAAAGTCATTTTTTTACTATTAAAAGGCTGTTTTACTATCTAACGCTGTAAAACGCCTCACAACACATTTTTATCATGTTTCTTAAACAGTATTACACAAAATAATCATTTTTCACATTTTTCTAGCTAATTTAAACACTCCCGACTCAAAGTAAAAACCTCATGAGCTTCTTACTTAGAGCTTTTTAATAGTAAAAAAATTAGACTTTTTTTCTGAATATCTCCTGTTGCGGGCTATTTTGTAGAACGTAACCCTCAAAATAAATGATCACTGTATATTGTTAATTCAAATAATATAATATTGATTTAGTGTTGTAGTGTGTGTGCTGCTTTATTTTATATGTGTACTTATTTCAGTCTATTTGTGTTTCTTATGCAGAAAAAAAACAAGCAACGATGGACAACTACATGGGGAAAGAGACACTCACCCCCCAGCAATTCATACCACTTACAAACTCTATTCTAAACATGCTGGTAAAAGACATGAGGCCACTATCCATGGTGGAAGGAGCAGGCTTCCAGCTAATGCTAAAAAATTATTCTGGACTGATATTTTGCACTGTTTAGCTCATTTTATACTGCTGACTGTGTTCATGTGCAATAAAATAGATTGCAGTCAACTGCACAATTCTCTTATGTTTTTTTTTCTTAACTGAAATGCATCCATCACTTGTATAGGTTAAATAGCTAAACAATAACAAACCGATTAATCGATTAATCGAAAAAATAATCGACAGATTAATCGATTATGAAAATAATCGTTAGTTGCAGCCCTAGTTACTACACTGGGCTCCATCACTCTTTCCACCCTACCACAAAGTTTAGCAAAAGATTGACGTGACATACGGAAATTCTCACGCCAATCTGTGTCCGTGAACTCCATCATTACAACCCGCTCCAGTCCTGGCTGCGCACCTTCATCCAAAGTGTCCGCGGGGCTCTGGTGGTAACGGGTACCGTCGACATGTTGGATATGTTTAGCGCAGCTCTCTCTATATTTGCCATTTCTCGCTCACGTACTCTCCTTCGAATGAGGGCCAGTCGTTGTAAGAGCTGCTGGTGGGTCAATACCAGCACTAAAGCGCAAACAAACGAGCTCGCTATCTCTTCCGAACTGGGAAACATGTTGTTGTTTTCATGGATACCAGAACAAGATGAACCGGAAATGACGCATGTAAAGGTGAACTATTTCTTTATGTTTAACAACGGCAAAGGTATACGGGCTTTTATTTTGATAGCGTCATAGCAACCGTAGCCAAGTAGGGAGGCGCAACGGGCGCAACACAAAAGAAGCAAACGGAAATCTATTAGAAGTGAAGACGGAGCAAAGGATAGGCTATTAGCAGTTCACGGAGAAGAAGACAAAGAAAGTTTGAAGAATACTTCTGTCTAGCTTCAGTTGATAAGGGGAACAAGGTTTGTAATTATAATTCAGAATGTTGTTATGAAAACGGAACGTGTCTATTGTATTAATTGTGAAAACGACTACCAATGTAATCAGTTATGCATTATGGTTTATTTTATGATTTATTTATTTTTTGTTTATGCCTAGCTCTTACGTTGGTTGGTTGATGATACGGACGGCTCAATAAATCATCATTCACCATCAGTTCCGGCCTTCTCGATATTGACTGAATGCTACAGTAAGAGCTTGACCGCCCCCTCTTGCCGCACGGTGTGGTTTCACGGTTCAACGGCAGTACCCGCAACGTCCAGCAGAGGGCAAAAGTTGGTCAGGAATTGAAACGGATCAAGGCAAAGTAAAATGGAAGACTTACAGTCTGCAACAGTAAGTCAAACGGCCCTAACTGAACAGATGACAACTCTGCAAAAGGAAAAAAGAATGCTTGTCCTTTATGAGCAATGGAAAGCACAGGCACGTGAAACAAGAGAAAAATTAAAGGAAGATATAACAGTGAAGGAGATGTCAGAACTTGCTGACATAATAGAAGAAAGGAGAGATGATCTATTAAAGTTATATTCAGAAAATAGAACCCAAATGGCACCATCATCTGACGTAAGGAGAAAGATAGATGCATGTGAAGCAGTAACTAAGGAGATCATAGGGATAATTCTGGAAAGAATAAGTGGTGTTGATGGAGATTTTGATGCAGATCGTGAACAAGCTCGTTTACGTGAACTTTTAGAGCATGAATACGCCATTTCCATATATGGATCAACTGCAGCATCAAATCGCAGCCAGCGATCCTCAGCTTCCCATCTTACAGCAAAACGAGCTGAAGCAGCAGCAGAACTAGCAGCAAAGGAGGTGGAGTATGAGGTCGCGCTGGAGGAACAAAGACAACAAGAAAAAATAAGGGCTCTAGAGGAAGAGCATAAAAAACAGGTGGCAGTTCAAAATGCAGAGTTAGAACGCCTGAGAGCACAAAGGGACGTGAAAGCAGCTCGAGCCAGATTTGAAGCATATGACAGGCATTTACTACAAGTGGGTGATGTACAGTCAATTACAGATGAAAAGGTGAGCCCAAACATCACACCTAAACAGCCGTTACCAGCAGTCTCCTTTGGTCCTGTGCAGACAGCCCCCCCTACTGTTACTGAGTTGGCACCAGCAGTGCAGGAAGCTCCCTCCAGTGTTACCCAGCTAGCACAGGCAGTTCAAGACAGCATAAGATTAAACAAACTTCCTACGCCAGAACCAACAGTTTTTAGTGGCGACCCAATGCATTTCATTGAATGGAAATCCACATTTACATCACTGATTGATCAAAGGGGCATCTCAGCAGCAGATAAACTGTACTATTTAAAAAGATATGTAACAGGGTCAGCTCGCAAATGCACTGAAGGGACTTTCTTTAGGAGTGATGAAGCTGCATAAAAGGATGCTTGGGACAAGTTAAACCAAAGATACGGCCAGCCCTTTATTATACAGAAATCATTCAGAGAGAAGCTATCAAAATGGCCAAAGGTGCAGTCCAGAGATGCTGATGGATTAAGAACTTTTGCGGACTTCCTAAATGCATGCATGCTCGCTATGCCTCATGTAAAGGGTTTGCAAATACTTAACGACTGCGAGGAAAATCAAAAATTACTGCACAAACTACCAGATTGGATAAATGCAAGATGGAACAGACAGGTAACAAAGACTTTAATGGAAGGTGGTGAGTTTCCAAGTTTTAGTGACTTTGCATCCTTTCTCTCTGTTGAAGCTGAAGTTGCATGTAACCCATTCACCTCCATTCATGCCCTTCGTTACTCTGAAACTAACAGCGACAAAGGAAACACAAAAGAACGAAAAGGGAACAAAGCAAGTGTTTTTAAGACAAATTCAACAAAACAAAGTAACACACAGTCAATAATAATAACATCAAAGGATTTTTCATGTGTTCTGTGTCAGATTGAACATCCACTCCACAAGTGTCCAGACTTCTTAAAACTGTCTCTAGAAAACAGAAGAAAGTTTGTGAAGGAGAATAAACTTTGTTATGGTTGTCTAAAACAAGGTCACAATGCCAAAGACTGCAAACGCCGCTTCAGTTGTGACACCTGCTCAAAGAGGCATCCTACCTGTCTTCATGACGACAATTATTGGAACAGCCTACAAAAAGAGACACATGTGAGTGTAAATAATGGAACTCAAGTTAACTCACCTGCAGCAGCGACGGCTATGTCACTCAATGTTACCAGACCTGAACACACAATCAGCACATCACTGATAGTTCCAGTGTGGCTGTCAACTGCTAACAACCCACTCAAAGAAAAACTGGTTTATGCGCTATTAGACACGCAGAGTGATGCTGTCTTCATTGATCAGGATGTAACACATGAGCTGCAGGCAGATGTTTGCCCAGTAAAGCTAAAACTGACTACCATGATGGGAAAAAATGCAGTTGTAAGCAGTGAAAGGGTGTCTGACCTCTTGGTGAGAGGCTATAACTCAGCCACAGTCATAAAGCTTCCTACGGCATATTCAAAGGACTGCATCCCTGCTAACAGAGAACACATACCCACATGTGAAACAGCCAAACAGTGGAGCCACTTGCTGCCCATTGCAGATGAAATCCCTCCACTTCTCAGTTGTGAGGTAAGTCTCCTCATAGGTTATACTTGTCCTAGAGCTCTAGCACCTAAACAAGTAATCTTAGGAAAAGATAATGAACCTTATGCTCTTCGGACTGATTTGGGATGGAGCATTGTTGGCAACTCAGACCCCGAAGAGAAAACAGACATGACAACCAGGCTTTGTCACAGATGCACCGTTAAAGAGGTTCCTCCTTCCACTCCAGCAGACGCAATACGTGTATTGGAAAGAGACTTTAAAGACGCTGAAAGAAATGAAAAGACTGTGTCACAAGAGGATCTATTATTCCTCCAAAAACTTGAGGAAGGCATAGTACAAACGAAAAAGGGAAATTATGAAATGCCATTGCCGTTCAGGAAAAGACCACAAATGCCAACTAACAGACAACTTGCTGAAAGCAGACTAAGTCAACTGAAACGCAAACTCATGAAGGATCAAAAATACAAGGAGGATTACATGAAATTCATGAATGAAATGATCAAAATAGGTGATGCAGAAGAAACTGACGATATTGGACCACCTGGTGAGACATGGTATATACCTCACCACGGTGTTTATCATCCAAAGAAACCTGACAGGTTGCGCATAGTTTTTGACTGTTCAGCTAAACACAATGGTACCTGCCTTAATGATCATTTACTAAATGGCCCTGACATGATCAACAGTCTAACTGGTGTTTTGGTGCGCTTCAGACAGCATAAAGTCGCTCTAATGTGCGACATTGAAAAAATGTTCCACCAGTTTCAGGTTAAGGAAGATGATCGCAACTATTTGCGCTTCTTATGGTGGAAAGATGGTGACGTTAACAGCCAGCCACAAGCATACAGGATGACAGTCCACCTTTTTGGCGCTGCTTCATCCCCAGGGTGTGCGAACTATGGACTCAAACATCTGGCTAAGGAAAACAGATCTGCATATCCTGTAGGCTCACAGTTCATAACCAGGGACTTCTATGTAGATGACGGAGTCACCAGCGTACAAAAAACTGAGGATGCTATTCAACTAGTAAAGGAAGCACGTGAGCTATGTGCAAAGGGTGGATTAAGGCTGCATAAATTTGTATCCAACAACACTGATGTTTTAAACAGCATCCCAACATCAGAGCTGGCAACAGATACAAAAACAAAGGACTTGACATTCAAAGAGGCACAAACAGAAAGAGCCCTTGGCATTTATTGGAATGTAGAGAAAGACTGCTTTACGTTCAACATCATGCTGAAGGACCAACCCCCAACCAGGCGGGGCATCCTATCAGCAGTTGCAGCAATATATGATCCCCTCGGATTTTTAGCTCCTTATGTGCTCAACGGCAAGGGAATTCTCCAAGAAATGTGCCGTCAAGGAACAGACTGGGACGACCCAATACCAGACCACCTCAGGCCACGGTGGGAGTGCTGGAAAGGAGACCTGCAAAATTTAAAGAACGTCCAGATAAACAGATGTTATGCTCCTGCAGAATTTGGAGAAGTGATCAAAGGAGAATTACATCACTTTTCAGATGCAAGCACCGCAGGATACGGCCAATGTACCTATCTTAGACTCACAAACAAAAACAAAGAAGTTCATTGTGCCTTTGTCATGGGCAAAGCACGTGTCTCACCCACAAAGGTCACCACTATACCCAGGTTGGAACTCACCGCAGCCACAGTATCAGTCACAGTGAGCAAAATGCTAAAGGAGGAGCTGCTCTACGATGATGTAGAAGAGTTCTTTTGGACAGATTCAAAGGTCACTTTAGGATACATAAATAATGAGGCAAGGCGCTTCCACACGTTTGTTGCGAATAGAGTGCAGAAAATACGGAGCCACACTTCACCGCAACAATGGTTTCATGTACCTACTGATGAAAATCCCGCCGACATGGCTTCCAGGGGCACTTCTGTAAAGGAACTGCTTTCATCCAACTGGCTCACCGGCCCTCAGTTTCTGTGGAAAGGAGAAATACAGCTTCCAACAAGAAAGACTATCGAGCTCCCAGTAGGAGACCCAGAGGTGAGAAAGGTGCAGACCCTAAACACTCAAGCTGTAAAACATGCAAGTCTCAGTGACCACCTCACAAAGTTCTCCTCCTGGTCCCGTGCAGTTAGTGCTGTAGCACGTCTCAGACGATATCTGCTCAAAGACAAATCAAAGACACTCACCACTGTAGCTGAAAGAAAAATAGCTGAAACTGTGATCATCAAAGATTTGCAAGGACAAGTGTATCAAAATGAAATAGACACACTCAAAAAAGGCAAACAACTCCCAAAGAACAGCAAAATAAGCAACTTGGATGTTTTCATAAACAAAGACGGTGTGCTCAAGGTTGGTGGAAGGCTTCAGCTTTCATCTCTGCCCAATTCAATCAAACAGCCAACACTCATTCCCGGAGAACATCACATTGCAAAACTGATAATCGCACAGTCTCATGAAAGAGTTAATCATCAAGGAAAAGGCTTCACCATGAATGAGATACGATCCAGTGGCTATTGGATCCCAAAATTGAGCCAAAGGGTTTCCTCCTACATTCGGCAGTGTGTGTTCTGTCGTAAACAAAGAAGGCCTGTGGAAGGACAAAAAATGAGGGATTTACCCACAGAGAGGACTGAACAATCTCCACCCTTCACCTACTGTGGTATGGATGTTTTTGGACCATTTCTGACCAAACAAGCACGTAAAAAACAGAAAAGGTATGGACTCCTTTTCACATGCTTCTATTCACGTGCAGTGCATGTTGAAATGTTAGAGGACTTATCTACGGACACCTTTATAAATGGACTCAGATGCTTCATCGCTCTAAGAGGCTCTGTCAGACAAATAAAATGTGATCAGGGTACTAATTTCATAGGTGCCAAAAACGAACTCAATGCAGCACAAAGTGAAATGGACACTGGCAAGCTATCAGCCTTCCTTGCAGAAAAACAATGTGATTTTGTTCTAAACACACCTCACGCAAGTCACGCAGGTGGAGTATGGGAACGACAAATACGGACTGTGAAAAATGTTCTCAACGCAACATTGGCTCTCACTCCAGGTCGGCTTACTGACTCTTTACTCAGGACTTTTCTCTATGAAGCAGCTGCAATAGTAAACAGCCGCCCTTTAACTACGGACAATCTTAACGATCCAAACAGTCTGGAGCCACTAACTCCAAACCATCTCATCACAATGAAAACTTCAAGTGCTCTGCCTCCACCAGGAACATTCATAAAAGAGGACATGTATGCACGAAAGCGGTGGCGCCAAGTTCAGTACCTTCTTGAGCAGTTCTGGAGCAGATGGAGAAAAGAGTACCTTCAGAACCTTATAGTGAGACAAAAATGGCACACACCTAAAAGAAACATGCAAATTGGAGACATAGTGATGGACAAAGATGACATGCTACCACGCTCTCAATGGAAACTTGGTCGAATCGTGGACACTGTGCAGGACACTGATGGACTTGTCAGAAAGGTCAAAATAGCCTCTGCAGACAAAAATCTAAACAATAAGGGCCAACGTGTCAGCAAAATGTCTGTGGTAGAACGCCCTGTTCATAAGTTGGTCTTGTTGTTAGAAGACTGTAATGTTTGAATCTACAATGCTTTAAAGTGTTGGAAAATGTTTTATTTATTCATTTTTTGTTTTTGAATTTTATACAAAGTATCTGTTAAGCTACTGTTATTGTTATGGAAAAATTATTTGTGTTTATATGTTCAATAGTAAATAATTTGGTGGGAGTGTAAAGGTGAACTATTTCTTTATGTTTAACAACGGCAAAGGTATACGGGCTTTTATTTTGATAGCGTCATAGCAACCGTAGCCAAGTAGGGAGGCGCAACGGGCGCAACACAGAAGAAGCAAACGGAAATCTATTAGAAGTGAAGACGGAGCAAAGGATAGGCTATTAGCAGTTCACGGAGAAGAAGACAAAGAAAGTTTGAAGAATACTTCTGTCTAGCTTCAGTTGATAAGGGGAACAAGGTTTGTAATTATAATTCAGAATGTTGTTATGAAAACGGAACGTGTCTATTGTATTAATTGTGAAAACGACTACCAATGTAATCAGTTATGCATTATGGTTTATTTTATGATTTATTTATTTTTTGTTTATGCCTAGCTCTTACGTTGGTTGGTTGATGATACGGACGGCTCAATAAATCATCATTCACCATCAGTTCCGGCCTTCTCGATATTGACTGAATGCTACAACGCATATTGCGTCTTGACGAAGTCCATACGTCCTGACGCTACCCCAACGTCCGCAATAAAATCGGGTTATGCAAGTTAGGGGTAACTCTTGCTTGTAAACAGGTTAATCTGATCAACTCAGAGACCCGAATACCGACCTTAACCCTATCTTAACCCGGATATTGGCTGCATGTAAACGTAGTCAGTGGACCTCAGGGACCTGCTGGGGGTGTAGGGACTAAGAAGATCACCAATGTAAGATGGTGCTTGTCCATGTAAGGCCCTATAGACCAGAACCAGGATCTTGAAATGAACCCTGAAGTTGACTGGCAGCCAGTGAAGCTGGAGGAGAAGCGGGGTGATGTGGGTGTGTTTGGAGGACTTGGTCAGAAGCCGAGCACAGGCGTTCTGAACCACCTGTAGACGGTTCAGGGAGGTTCTGCTCAGACACGTGAAAAGAGAGTTACAGTAGTCTAAGCGTGAGGAGATGAAGGTGTGGAGAACTGTCTCAAGTTCAGAGCGGGACAGAATGGGACTCAGCTTAGCAACGTTCCTGAGATGGAAGAAGGAAAAGCCAACAATATTAGACCAGATGATACTCAGTACTCAAGTAGTACTCAAGTAGACTTCTAATCAGATACTTTTTTACCCTTACTTGAGTAATAAACCCTATATCAGGAAAGTATTGTCCTCGGTTTGTGTCCTTCCAGTGAGCTTTGCAGATGTGGGAAAATGTCATCAGGCAGTAATCGTTGTTAAATTCATAATTATTCTCGGAGAGAGACCAACTCTTATCTGCCCCTGGGAGCCCCG